CTCTGTGTGTGTGTGTGTGTGTGTGTGTGTGTGTGTGTGCACACACACACACACACACACACACACACACACACACACACACACACACATACTCTTCCCCAGAACATAACGCACCCTCATTTTCACTGCATCTGACCGGCAAGTTAGAATGTATACGTTCATTGTCAGGGTGCGTTATGTTCAGAAAGATCTACAACTCGTTGTTGTTGTTTTAACGCATTTTTTTGCCAACAAAAAAATGTTGGCGGGATATAGTCGGAGGGGAACCGGCCCCTGCCCGGCCCCTGCCGCCCGGGCCGGTCATGGCATGACCGTCCAGTCAAAAATCGGTCCCCGGCCATGACCGGGGGAACACATAGCTCCCCGAGCACTTAGCAGGGCTACTGCGAGGGGATGCTTATATCACCCCTGGCAGTATTCCATCTGGACGCTTTCTCAAAAAAAAAAACACATTATGAGAGATGTTCAAGGATGCTGGCGACTTCGATACCCTGACTTCATTGCAGTTTGTTTCACACAGGCCAGATATTTTCCTTAACGACCTGTGAGACACTGATGGTAAACGATCTTAGTGCTCACAGAGTACCAGTGTAAACTGGCACATAGACGCCGTCCTGCTTAGCCCGGTTCTTCACGTCTGACTATAGATCAGCAACATTCATGGCTGCAAATGAGAAATGGGGCAAACTGGCATCTCACCGTGCAGTAATTGATCAGCGCAATTATGGTTCAGAGTCTTATGCCTTTGATTACAAAAGTTGCAAGGGCTGTACACATGAGGTTTGCCGATCTGTTCCAAACCAAAAAAAAAAAAAAAAAAAAGCTTTGCCAATCTGTTCTGAACAAAAAAAAAAAAAAAAAGAAAGAAAGAAAGAGGGGAAAAAACAAATCTAAAAAAAATTGAAAAAATCTATAAAAAAACAAAAAAAAACGGCCTTTTGGCTAAGAACAAGTGTAGTATCTGTTCTGATCAGTTTAATACCTGGGGCCTCGTCCCACTACGTCCGATTTACGCTTGTGCTCTGCCGTTTTCGACCACGTGCGGCCGTCTGTGACATGTGTGAATCGTTGATCATTTCGTGTATCCACTGCTAGTGTGGATTGTCTTTATTTTCGTGGACGCAGCTTCCTGTCGGCCAGTAGAATCTTTTTCTTAATCATTTGTTGGCCATTTAGTTGGCCACTTTGCGTTGGCGTGGCTTCAATACTATGGTTTTTTTTTTGGGGGGGGG